TCGGTCGTCGTAACTAAACTAACGTTTAACTTTAGTTTAATTAATTAAGTAATTTAATTAAACTTAAGCGAAATAATAACCCCTCCCCCTCCCCCCCTGCGTGGCTCAACGGAATGTCTGAGGGCTTTTAACACGAAATAGGATTTTTAAAATTATGCTGTATGTTTAAATTATAAGGGTTAAGAAAAATTCAAATGGAATATGAAAATATAAAACAGAAAATGTGATAAACGACGAAACACTTTAGAATAGTAATCATTTATAGATTTACCATGAACTGGATTTAGGAGACAAATTAATTTTTTTTTAATATGTAGCCTAATTTGGAGAAGAGGCAAGTTTCCTTTATGGTTAAGATTGTGTTAAAGTTCTGACACATTATTTGCTTGTTTTAAAAAGAGATCTATTGAAGTTAGACTTCTTCTGGTATATACAAAAGTCTCTACGAGAATCCTTAGCTTTAGAATATTTCATCCACCATACATTCCAGTTTAAGTAAGTTTTTACAAAAGAAATACACACGCACGCATGCATGCATGCACACACACACACACACACATATACAACTTTATAAGTTCTTAGTATTAAATTTTTTATTTCATTGTATCAATTCAGTGATAATAAATTCAATCTTTCCAGGCCCCTTAGAGACTCGGCAGTAAGTCTGAGGGCTTATGGTGCTAAAAACTGTGTTTTCATACCCGTTTTAGGCACAGCAAAGAAAATCCATTGTGCAACAAATGAACACAACACAACCTTTTCAGAATTTGAACTTCCGTGAAAACATAATTGATTGAATCCTGTTTAACCATCAATCTTTCATAAAAATTGGCTAAATATAAAACATGTGCTTTAAATGGAAAACCCTCACGGAACATAGTTTCTAACCAACGCTAAAGTAATAAGTGTGTAACAACTGAATTATGGATTTGAAAGATGACTTTTCCAGCAAGGAAGAAACGGCTTGCTATATCATTCCTGTGAGTATATAACTATAACAAATGTATCTAGGCAAAAAGCTAGGACTGAAAATGTGCACGGTAAATTTTGGATATATTGCTAAACTTTATAGACAATTCCTCTATGTCAATCGTATTTTTTTTAATATCCCATCACCGAACATACTTGCCCTCTCAGTCGTGGAGGAGTTACAATGTGACAGTCAATCCCATTATTCATTGGTAATGAGTAACCGAAGAGTTAGCGGTGGGTGGTATTGACTAACTTTCTTCCCTCTAGTCTATCACTTTGAAATTAGGCATGGCTAATGTGAATAACCCTTGATTAGCTTTGCGCAAAATTCAACAAACAAACCTTGTATATATTGTTGAGATTTTCAAGTTCACAGAAAGAAAAAGAAACACATAAACAATAATGAAACCTTCTACTTATATTATACAGATGGTTGAGTGCGTTATAGTAAAACGATGTTTAATATGAAAATCATCAAGTCACTTGAAAAATACAGCGATATAAAGTCGCGGTGGAATGGCAGATATCTCAACTACATTTTGGCATTATCCTTTCATAGGTAATATGATGCCACCGAAAATTGATTGCTTGTGGGTAGGTTATGTAACAGCCCTTTCCCACTGAAAACATTTATACACTAAAATCATAAAGATGTGAAAAGATCGGGGATTTAGAACTTTCAAGAATTTTCTTCTATTTGAATGGCATTAGAAAACAAAGGACTACGGATCAACCTGAGGAACCTGGACCATCCAGAAATAGATCTGCAACAACAACCCCAGCCGTGTTAAGCCAAGTTTGGCGCGTCTTGTAACAGGTGAAAACCCACGAATACAAAGTTCAGTGGCAAAAGGCGTCCAAATGATCCAGACAACATAATCAAGAAGGATTTTCCTTTGGAAAAGCGGCGCAAGTCATCTGTATGCAAGCAAGCTGCTTCCATGGCATATCCGTTCAACCGTGGCATACCCTAACCAGCTGGAGAATGAAATTGGAATTCATGCTATTCCATAAGAAGACATACCGGTCAAGTCGCCTATGGATTTCTGTACGATCAATCTGTGGAAACGAGCGCTGGGAAACCGTCGTCTTCATACACTAAATGGCGTATGGAAAGCTAGTTTGAAGCAGTTGTGTGCTTTAGACATAACAGCTCTACTACGAGGCCCTCTTCACTAAAAGCAATGCTGTAGGAGTATTACCAAGATGCACAGCCGCCAGACAGATTAATACAGTACGTGATGATGTGGCTTCAAAGTTGGTTTAATATAATGTACTAAATCCGTATATATATATATACACATATAAAGCAAAACAAAACACAGATATAACCTTTGATTTAGTTCTGTTTATTTCAGAATTTTGCTAAACGTTATTCAAGGGCCACATTTATACAGCCGACAATAATTTTGAATTGATGCTTTAGAGGATTATTTTCTGTTGATGATCGCGTAAAGTTACTCGAGCGCTATCTGCACTTCTTCTTCTTCTTAGTTCCTTTTCGTTCCTAGTGGAACATAGGGCTACAACAACACTTCGCCGACGGAAGTGTTTTTGTTGCAGTTTCTGTAGCAATTTGTTATCCGGGTGGAGTTGCTAGCCCCACACCCAAGTGAGCATGTTTGGTGCGACAAGGACGCGAACCCGCGACCCTCGGATTGCGAGGCGAGCTATCTGCACTAGTTGTCCTTAATTTAGAAGTGATCGACTATAAGAAAATAGGCAATCGGCAATTAGTGGACTATTCTGATCGAATAGTGGGATTTGAACTTCATTCTTATAATGCACTTATTGCGCGATTTTTGTTTGGTGGGAGGCGCAAGTCCACAGTCCGGCAAGTTAACCATTGGACCGCACTCGGCTCAGACTATATGGAGGCAGTTAGTTAACAGCACCCTCCGCCAACTGCTACTCTGATTTGGTTGAATAATATAACCGATATTATAGAACGCCCAACCGAACGCTAACCATGAATCCTCTGATTCACAGACCTAGTACACTAAGTCACACCCGACACTGCTAGCAACTTAATTCCATTCTATAGTTTCGGGTAAACGTTTTACTAATATTTAAATTGCTTCTGAATTCATTTACGATAAATAGTACCATTATTAGACAGTAATATAGCTATGAGGTATGTTTGGTATTCAAAATATACGCGTACGTATATTTAAATGTAATTATCCATTAAAATCTCAAGCACACCGCACTGTTATGTAATACATTTATCAATTCCTTAACACTCGCTCGTGTTTTTATTTATGCGAACTTGGGCATAAATTTCATAATATGCTTTAATCAATGTATATTATTACAATTATTAGATGCAGAAATGTATGGTAAGTCTAAATATCTGCGGTAACAGTATACTTTCTTATACTTTAGTATGTGTATGCCGCGGCAAATATGTTGTGTTTACCTCCTATAGAGGGCTCATCCAGTGAGATAAGTAAGTCGTGTTTAGCCACCGTAAAATGTCATTTTCTATTTAGATATAACATATGTGGAGCACGTGAAGGGGAAGATTAGAAAGGTTTACAAGTAACTGCGTCAGACACTCTAATATTCTTCGCATATATATATATATATATATATAGAGAGAGAGAGAGAGAGAGAGACGCCATCTTTGCCTCATTTTCGACTTCGTTTTTTTTAAAGTAAAGACTTTGACTTTAATAATGCCTATTGTAATTTTCTAGACTGACTTAAATATATATCTAAGATTTTATATGTATTTTCTAACATACTCTTCCCGACACCCAAACAAGAATATCATGGTTATTCGTAAATGTTTACTTTTCCGATAGGTCTACAATGTAATTAGTTAAAAACAACGACATTAAATCTGAATATATATAGGACCCAGTTATGTTAAATATATTTTTTATTTGTGTTAAAGATAGTGTCTTGTTTTACTTAAATGAAAGTTGTAGCCTGATTTAGAGGTAACATGTTGATTGAAAATACTGTATAGTAACCTAACCTAACCGCGATTCATTAATTTTATAGTGCTCCTCCTGAGATATTATATTAGGTTTGTAACATACTTTTTACTGTTCTTATTCTAAACCCTTTTGTCTTTCATTTCTCCTTCAAAATTTTCCTGTTCAAGCTTTTATTTAGTTAATAATAACAATAATATATGTCACTAAATAAATCTCCATGAAATACCTATCTAGATCTATCACACATAATCAACTTATTTGGCTTTTCACGTTAGTAAGAGTCGCCGTCCTTCACACGTGTTGCCCTCCTGGAAGCCCTAGCTCTATGGCTCACCACGTGATTCTTCTCCATAATGTTTTTGCAAGGTTTTTACGCCCTGGTTAGAAGGCCCGATGGCATTCCTCTTCCTTTCTCAACCGGGTTTGTGACGGACTATGGTATAGTTACACACAGTCATCTAGGTCGTAAAAAAATTCACAAGAATGCATTTGCCTGAAGGTGATGGGAAGACGCTTAATAAATACACAGCGCGACGATAAATTACCTACCTTCAGTTTGAGAACTATTCAGAAAATCACAACTATAATAATAGTAAATTTTGAAACAAACAATTTATAAACATAATGGAAATTATCTTATGTAGAGAACATACTAGACGTTTCGACAGAACATTGGTTTGTCTTCTTAAGCTGAATATATTTCCGTATGCATATACAAGCATAGTTCTTCTCTTTATCATGTGTATGATAGCTTACTTGAAGCTGGAAAATGCACAAGATTACACAAATTAAATACTGGTTCCTCGTGCTCTTTCTTGTATTGTACCACTAAATCAACACGTGTTCTATATTATGATGCAAATACATTTAATAGTTGACTTCTTAATCTGAAAATACTAAGTACCTTTTTTTAGAAAAATAAACATACATTGGATGTTGTATTTGAACCTCATAAATCAATATCTTCATTACAAAAAGTAAAGTTATTATTTTGATGTACATAATTGTAATGTACTGTCTGCACAAACACCTGAACTTAATTATGAGTAAATATCTCCATTTTACAAATACTTTCTATAATCTTCTACTTATGATGAAAACATATGGTAATCTGCCAAAACAAAAACGCGGAGAACACATGCAGCTTTTTCTCAAGTTTGGCGTGCTGATTAGCTACGTTATATTTAGATTTCTATGTACATGATCTGAACCTAACCGTAATTACGACTGATATTACACGTAATGCTTCGAGCGTTTCATCCTTATCTTTCTTACAGGTTCAGTGGTTATTTCATAATCATCAATCAAAAATACAGACAAAGACTCGCCTAATTAAGATAATTATATCTATTTTAGATGAGGCAATACATAAACAAAGATTCTAAGCTCTTTTTTACTGTCACAAAATTTAACCTGTGTGATGTTAAAGATCAGTTGTATCTGATATTGAAAGCTAAGCCTAAAAAACAAAAAGTAGAAATATAGTAAATGTTCCATGTCACGCAATAATTGTGGCTGATAAATATGATCTGTGGAGCTAAATATAAAAAGAGAAGAAAGGTATCAACTGTCTCATATCATGGTAATAATGATAGTTGACAAATATCATCGGTTAAGGTAAACCTTAAAGGGAACTAAGGCATCAACTATTTTATATCATGGTAATAATTGTGACTGGCAAGCACGGTATATTAAGGTACCCCCCCCCCAAAAAAAAAGAAGAAATATATCAACTATTCCATATCGTGGTAATAATTGTGGCTGACAGAAGATCATGTTTCTATCTCTAAAAATCGGAAGTACTTACAAACTTTGTTCAGATCACTTATCTATGTTAAGCACGTAGGATTTTCGTTGTGTAATGTGGTTTCCGTAGGCGGCCTGATGAATTGACCACCATGATATGTGAAAACAGAATACTTCATAATCATATAATCAGATGAATTGTGACTTGTTTTTTATTTGATCTGCCCTTAATGAAATAGTAGAAATTAGTTTAATGAACCATTAAAATAATTGAATCAAAGATAAAGCTTCCCTCCAAAATGTCCAACAATTTAGTTGATTCATTACTAAAGACTTCTTATTTATAGCTAGTTGCTCCCTCATTAAAGACTACTTATTTGTAGCTAATTGTTCCCTCATTAAAGACACATTATTTGTAGCTAATTGTTCCCTCATTAAAGACTACTTATTTGTAGCAAGTTGCTCCATCATTAAAGACTACTTATTTGTAGCTAGTTGCTCTTTCATTTAAAGACTCATTATGTGTAGCTAGTTGCTCCCTCATTAAAGACTACTTATTTGTAGCAAGTTTCTCCCTCATTAAAGACTACTTATTTGTAGCTAGTTGCTCCTTCATTTAAAGACTCATTATTTGTAGCTAGTTGCTCCCTCATTAAAGACTACTTATTTGTAACTAGTTGCTCCTTCATTTAAAGACTCATTATTTGTAGCTATTAATTTGCTCAACGTTTTTGCTTAAAGAATAGAGCACTTTTTAAAATTTTGATTTTAGTTGAAATAAAATGATTTTGCATTTGATTATTTGGATAGACATGTATTTTTGAAAAATCCTATATGTTCTACTTCGTTTGAGTAATGAACAAAGATACATAAAGACTGCTCTTTACTTAAAGTCTCCTCAAAACACCCTGAATAGACTGTATAAACTGTAAGAGTGTATAACTGTTTACAAACTGATTAATAACCTTCCCCGGTTTACCACGAGGTTTACAAAAAACAACAACATAATCTAGTATCTTTACGTATCTTTAGTATCTTTTTAATGATTATTTTAATTTTTCTATATACTTGCCAGAAATTAAAAATGATTTAAATACTTAATTAAAAACAACCCGAGAAAATATTTAGTATTCTACCATACTATATAAATAATTAGTAAATGTTCAAATAGTTTCTATAAAATCAAGTTCTTGGGTTAAATTTAATAGTTTGATCTCTAAAGATGTTCAGTTTTCGATATCTATTTCACTGGTAATGTGTGAAACCTATTGTAACGTGCGTTATCTAAAAATAATAGATTCACAACTGTTTTGGCCCGGCATGGCCAGGTGGTTAGGGCGCTCGACTCGCAATCTGAGTGTCGCGAGGAGCCTTATCATTTTTTACACTTCGTAATGTTTTTTAACCAGTTTATTTTTTCTTAACCAGATCTTGTTTCCATTTATCAACTGATAAAGATGTGGAATACTGCTTAAATCTTCATTAGTAAAAACTGAAGGAAAAGTAAAATTTAATATCCCAGCCATCTCATAATCATCAGATACTAGCCTTCCTTTATCATCCGTCAAGGGTCCTATCCCTATCCTAACATTTTG